ATACCACTGTGCAGACATTCAATTAAACTTAAAACTAACGTAGGCAACAAAACTTACCCAACACTAGCCACAATGCCTCGCGGTTCACCGTATCAAACTCCTTGGTTTAATCAACAAAAAGCGAGTACAGAGGATGGTGTCGTTCTCTGAACTTCTCTTGCAACTGACGAGCTGCAAACACCATATCTATAGTGCTGCGGCCCGAGCGGAATCCACACTGCTCTTCCGCCACGTTAGGTTCCACAACCTGACTGACGTGGCGGTTGAACAGGATCCGGGCAATCATCACACCCACACAACTCAGCAAGTTGATGCCACGATAATTCTTGCAACTTTGACTGCTACCTTCGCCCTAGTACAGTGATAGCACAAGGGCATTCTTCAGCTCAGGAGGCACCTCTTCCTTAATCCATAAACTTTGCCCTAAGTGGTGCCGGGCAGTCAACAACGCGGGTCCGCCGTGTTTCAATACTTAGGCGGGCTCCCGTCGGCCGCAGCACACTCGCTGTTTCGCAGCTGAGCAAGTGCTCTCTGCGCCTTATCCAGTGTCGGAGTGTCCGCCAGACTCGTCTTCACATCGTGCTGCTTGAAGCCGTTCAGTATAGGCCAGTCGATCTCTGAACGGTTTTTCAAGAGACAGTCACATTATTTGTGCCAGATCTGCTTTATGTCCGCAGACTGTGTGCAGGTAGCGCCTGAACTACCATCAATCAAAATATATGTATATATATGCGTGTGGGGAAGCGTATCTTCTTAAAATGTATTAGCGTGCTTCGCCCTCTTCTTTTACTTTGATCGCTTGATGCTTAATCAGACGCAAGCATTCTGGAGCTAATCACGCACGAGTGGCATATGCTAACCCGTAGGTAACACATTATCGAATTGGGGATATCACCGAAAGGCATGTACGTTCACTGCATCATGACAAGGAATTGTTATCGGCATGCTTGCATCAAGTCATGATCGTTCGCACGAGTTGAATAGCAAGTAAGGAGTTTTCTTCCTCGCTACCATGATATTAATATATGAGGCAAATATTACTCCTTGTTGTTGCATAAGGTCCGGTGCTCCACTTTATAAACTAACCGCGGTGGATATTAAAATATGGGAAGTACCATTGGGTTTCCGTAATATCCTAACCTCACTTATTCTTTAATATTAACACTCCTTGATCGCTTCGTTGACAGGCTGATCAGCAGGGGTGGAGTTTGAGGAAGCTTGATTTAGCTTGGATCCAACTACTTGTACGCTGTGTTTCAGAGTACTTCAGGTACAATCCATACATACGTCCTGGTCACGCCACCATGGTTGTTATCCCCTTTATCGACTACAAACCATCGTCTAAGCAATTATCCATGTCTGTACTTCCGGCCAAAGCGCTACTGCTTAGCATGGGGATAGTGGGAAGCCCAGTTCGCTTGCAAGCCAATGACTACATGATTTACCAAAGAATTAAAAATTAAAATTAATCCAAACATGTTATCCATCCATTTGTGCTACACTGAGTACGTAAATATGCTGCCGGCCTTCTGGTACTTTTACTTAGTTACGGTTGAGAGTTTCATAACTTTTTCTTTCTTTGATCTGTCCACTGCCATCTTAAGGGTCTCAAAACAAGAGTTTTTCCCATTCATTTATGCACACCGGACCAAAGTTGATTTCGGACTCCGAAATAAATTCCTCCCTCAAAGGCATTACCATCCCAAAACTGACACTGATAACTGAAGTAGAACATTAGAAGTGAAGTAGCGAACAAGCTTGTTTAATTGGATCATCATCAGGCAAATACAACCAAAGTGATAGGGATCAAAAAAGGTGTGTGTTATAAGCGTCCATAAATCAAAATTCCTTATCAAAAAAGCGATGTGATTAGCCCGACTTGTGTGAAGCCGGTAGCAAATGCGTGTTAAGCTTCCTTGTGTTAGTCTGGGGCCAGGGTAGGCATAGGGTTTGCACAAAATACTTCTGTGCATACTACTCGGGGTTGTAGTGCTCAATCGCAATTGCCTCCGCTGTCGATAGCAGACGGCATCTGTCAGCTGGTGTACACAATAGATCGGTTGGAATGAATCATTTGGGTTTATTTTATAGTTGGAATCCACTAAATGGGACAACCGTATTATCCACACTCTTCCTCACACCAACGAACCATCAAGTTGGTCAATGCTCTCGAGTTCTTAAAGACAGTCGCCTGATCGGTTCTCCAATATACCTTGCTCAAAACGGGCAAGAAAAATTGTACACGCAAAAGGAAATTTGCGACCGGGGTATCCTGTTCTTGACCTGTTGGCGCACAATTAGTGTTGAGATGAAGTTTACGTATAAGTGGGCTGCAAGTACTTTTTGACAGCGGCTAGGGTAAGCATTCGGATGGTCCCCTGCGCCATCGCGTCACCCTTAAACGGCAATGTTAAGTATAGAAAGCGCTTCCCTGTGAAAGCATGTTTCATTTTCGGTACTTGGTTCTATGTGTTCTGAGATAATCTTTTCTGGGTATCCATTACACTTGAACATCCGACAAATAAAATTTAGCTTCTCAGAAAGCATCTCAGCTTGGTATTTTTGTATCGCTCTCTCCGTTGACAACGCATCTGTCTTCGCTTCTAACCGAATGGACTGCAGGTGCGCCCTAAGAGTAACGGGAATCAAAATGTTTCGGTGGAAGAGCATTTCACATAAACGAACCTTTGAATAACTTGGTTGGCTCTGAGTTGGTGATTTGTGCGTTCATTTTAACATGAAATTGCATTGAATCTTTAACCCGCTTAGGATTTGCTTGTCCTTCTGCTAAACTGAGCCTTCCAGTAATTGCATTCATCCTATGGTGTTCATCTGCTGGCGTTAGCCCCACTCATTATTTCGCACGCTGAAGACAACGACTACAGATTGCTTAGATATTTCATGCGGATGATTAAAAATGGTGTTCTTGCATATGTTTGAAAAGGAATCTTAATAAGCTTAGCAAATAATTCCGTTTTGCGCATTCCACTGCTCCACCGGCATGCCGCCTTTCTCAGCATTTTAACGAAATCAACATCGCTGAGCTAGTTCGACCAGCTTATTGAAACTGCCTTGATCAATGTTATAAATGTAGCACAGTTTCGCAGTATATAGAGATCCAAAGCACGCTAAGAAAATCAGTTCCTCGATAATGCCGATCGCTGTGATTTTGGCCGTTATTCCACATTTGTTGGGAAAATGAGACTTTGCGTGCAGGTTAGTTTGCCAAATGTACAGCTTATTTCTTTTCCGGAACTACTCCAGAACCGTACAAACAAGCATACAATGGAAGCAGTTTTTAATCGTAGGCATATTTGTTCTCTTTCATAAGAATTTATAAGACTGGTCTTGGTAAGTCTTCTGCAGCTTTTAACAGATGTCTAGACCGTGAACCTTAATGGGTCTACCGCCAACTTCTTACATTTCTATTGCTGTTTGCTCTGACTGAAACAAGAGTTTTAGGCTATCAAAGCAGCATAGTCTAGGATCTGGTGAGGGCGCTCGCGCCTCAAGGTTATCCAAACAAATGATTTATCAATAACTTACCAATCATATGACATTTTTCCAATCGCGATTCCCGATCTCTTGTTTAGTGTGGCACGTAATCTCTGGCATACCATAGATGGATCTTACGATTACACGATCTTGCTTGCTGCGTATTTTCGCCATGTTTATTTTTGACTGCTGCTTGCTCTAATGAAGGTCATGACTGATGTCTCTCTCCTATCATCCTTGATGTAATGCACTTGCAGACAGCACAAAGCTTTCTATATCAGTGGCTGATTCCAATGTTTGCATAAGAAACTGAGTTCAACATATTGCGCAGAGCTCGGACGACAAGTAACTCGTAATAGATTTGTGAGATAAGCTTACAAGTTCATCAAAATGCACAAAGAGTTCACTGGTATTAGGTATCAGACAATCTGCTCCGCCGTGTGTTGCGGTAAATTCGAGGACACTTGGGCATATATCATTTCGGACGTTAATAGTGTATCCCTTTGTTGAGGTATATGGCTGAATGATTGTTGATCCTTGCTTTAAGACAAGTAATTTTGGTCCACCTTTTTTCTGTCTGTCCGTTTTAGCTGTACTTGCATCAGAGGTGACTGTGAGTGTGGCAATCCAGTGAACATTGCTGTAATCTTTGCACACGTAACTGAATTCCCTGAAGATTTACACTCGAGCAGTAACACTTAAAATTTGGATGCTGAATACTGATTTTCGGCTACCTTTTCTTTGCTAATGAAATAATGTGCTAAGACCATAGGAACTTGAACGATAACACTTATCAGCTTGTGGCTGATCTTCGATGTCATTAATATCGCTTGAGTGTCAGAGCTCCAGTCTTATTTACCTAAATTACTGTCATAGTTAAAGGACACATCTCAAAGGAGAGGTCGCTGCCCTTTGTTTGTGCTAGACAAACTGTGCGCCATTGCTTTGCTTAAAGGGCACTACACTCGCCTGAAGCCTGCTGGCTTCCAAAGTAGTAACCTTTGCATTCATTTTCCTTCTTTAACTTCTGATAACAACCGTTTGTAATACTAGACTGGAATAAACATACACTTGATAGATAGGATGGTTGAATACGCAGTACAAAGCCATAAGAAGTTTTGGGAAATTTTTCGATCTCTTACCTTTAATTGAGAAAGATCCGCAAACCGCGGATAACGCCATTTGGAACAATGTGAATAGGTTAACTCAAAGTTGACAAATCCATTGTATTCTGACGACACACAGACACCCTTCGTATGAAGCCCTTTTGAATTCGCATATACTTGAATTCTGCTACTTAGCACGGTGTCGTCATGTAACTCAGTGAAATGGGTTATGTTCCGTGCATTTCCGACTTTGGTCGATTGCGCACTGCAGTCATATACACAAATATATATGCCATCAAATTCGTTGTCACACAAATCGTACTTTAGCGAGGCATAACTAGAAAAGGGTAAAAATTGAAGCTAATCTCCTTGTGCACACGGATAGGGCTAAAAAACGCTTTGCAAATAAAGCATATCTGTTCAACTTGTACGCCCAGCAACCTTGATTGCCAATGTACTGTTTATTACCCATATTAACGTGCAGCAAATAAGTGTTCAAGTTGCAAGTCAGTGATTTCATAACCAGTTCCTGTGTTTCGCTTTTCCAAGTCCTCTTTTGTTAATGAAATGGATTCCCTTTCACGCGTCTCGAACTGCAAGATAAATTCCCCTTTCAAAGCTCCCCGATGAGGACCGGTTACAACGCAAGTGAAGTTCTTGTAGCCCGAGCTTTTCTTCGTATTCTCCATCCTTTCATACTAGGTGAGAAAAGTGATCACGTGAAGCAAATACAATATTTTCCTTAACACATTGAAGTCATTACAAAAGAAATTGTTATGCCTGACAGCTTCTGGTTAATGCTGTGGCGATTTAATATGATTTGCCAATATTTTTCACAAATTAGTGGTCTCCTAGCTACACATCAACCTGGCTGTCAGACGTGAACAACCTTGGGCCAACAAGAACAAAGGATATTGCAGCTATGTTAAAGTCAAGGGCACGCAAAGCCGTATATGCCGCTTTCGACCAACAAAGGTCTCTTTAACTTTAAAGACCCAACAACCTACCGTATCTTGTCATTAATTTAATGATAAACGTCATAGCTTTTAAATTAAACTGTGGGTACGCATATGACCTACGGAGTCTATAACGTGTCGAAGAGAAACCTGCGTTTGTTCTGCGAATTTTGTTTTCTTTGTCAGATAAGCACCCAAGGCATGCCACATTTTTTCTCCCAATCTGTAGAAAATAAGCCAAAGCCATAAACAATGGAATACTAGCAATCAAACTGTTATGTGAGCTAGTTTGTGTATGGACATTGTAGTATTTGCTAGTTAACCGTGCAGTATCTTGCGATTGGGTAGGGTGGTTTGAGTATTCTACTTGGCCAACACAGACTTGCAATCATTTTGGGTCACCGCAGTGAGTGCCGCAGCAAAATGTGTACATGAATAAACAAGACCATGGCTTACTTTCGAGCAGATCGTCTTTGCAATATGTATCACCTCAGTTGCACTGCCATATTCACTGAGCCAATCGCCCGTTGAATCATCTCCGACGAATACCATGGCAACCCAGATGACTAAATTGGTTTGACAATATCGGGAATGCAAAAGTTACAAGCATACTAAATTTCCCGTAAAACGGTAGATATTGCCTTTATGGTGCTAAGAATACTCTTGTTTTGCAGTGGTCAGTATGTACGTGCGTGTGTGGGCTTGCACCTTTCACCCAGCAACTTTTCATGGTGGTCTACCATGGGTAAAACCTTACGGAAAACGGTTGCTAGGTTGGACAAAATGTCTTAGCGCCAATGGGGAAATCACAATAGCAATACAGGCGAATACTTGCCATACAACCTCAAGAGTAGTTAGCTAAGTTAAACTGCTCACTGGTGGATGATGTGGGATGTGTTGCTTAAGATTGTCGTGTCAGTTTCCACGGACTATTTTCTGTCCGGTTGCAAATGCAGTGGTACGCACTAAGTCTAGAAGCGAAATTAAATGGGGAGAAGTGGATTGATCGCTTACCTGTGTGGTCTAGCTATCATTGATTACTATGTATTTGGTATGTTAGAACAACTTACTTGCGTACGAGTCGTCAATGACAGCCTCTGCAAAACGGATAAAGTTAACAGCGTGCTCGCCAAAAGAACACAAATTCAAAAGTCATTTGAAATAATGACTTCTTAACAGGCTTGTGTAAATGGTGATAATCCCTGAATTCAATCTATTCCAATTAAATGGATGTTAACCGCGGAATACCTGGCATCTCGATAAATTACGTCCCTACATGCTGCAACACAATAGTTTTTCGAAAATATCTAGGGTAACAGCAGACGCAAGTGTCGAAATACCAATACAACAATTGTGACAATTTACCGTATTTTCCTTGCAGTTTTAAGCCGGTGATGTTCGAGACACTTCTCCGCCTTTCACATTCCGAAAACAAGTCATTTACAAGCATTTTCAATTCAGCATATCCTTTATTATCTATGTTGACAATGACGCGATCCTGAGTGGGAGCAACAATTAATGAAGAAAATGTACATCCGACCATATCGTATGGTACCCCTGTCCTGGATGTAATTGAGGACCGAAGCTGAAATCCCATGGTAAATAACGCTTGTTATTGGTTAGTTGAATTGGAGCGATTAGCCAGAACGCATTTTATCCCGCATAGGTCAAAGTTCCAGACATGAGGTCAGTATATGTGTCACAATGATATAATAGCCTTATTGAGCCGGTTAGGTTATCATCTTCGTAGACAGTTTTTGTAGTGATGTGGTTACTATGCGCCGCCTAGAAAAAACTCAATGCAATACTGTTTACCTTGATGCAGATGTCTTCAGCATGTCTAGATGCCAAATTTTCTTCCAGTTCCTTTTTACTTGTAGGTGGTAAGCTATTTCCATCCTTGAGTATTACTCCTTTTATCATTACAACTGTTAGGACAAGCGGAAACGAAGTACATATTGAAGCGCTATTTCCTTAGGTAAAATTGCAGACAAGAATTGGTTATTTAGGCCAGCAAATTGTGCACCGGCAGTTCTGCTTCTAGTTTAGAATGCTGATTATATTTTTCAAGAAATTTTGAAGTAAATAATAACTTAGACACCCCGGAAGCAATGGAGAATTTACAATCAGCAGTGGGTTTGTAGGGATCAATCAAATACATCCAAATTACTGAGGTAAACTGACCATGTTGAATCACCAATTGGCACGGAGCAAACGTAATTGCTGTTGAAAGAAATTGGTAGCGTCCATGAAGTGTACATTATTAACTAATGTGGCAGTACAGTAATTCAGAATGCCTTAATAAGGGGCGTGGACCACATTATCTGTCGCACTAAATCGGTACCACTTGAATATGATACAATAGAAGGTGCATGAAGCTCGGACATTCAGGCACATTTTGGGATGAACACATTACTCGTTGGATGAAGCAGCTACTTTATTTCAAAATGCTAACAAAATGGGTGTAATTCAACAGCCCACATATGCGTCTGCCTACTACAAATAACTTGATCAAGTTTTCTCGAAGTTTCGAGCAACGTAATAACAAATTAGAATATTTCAATTAAAGATAACGGTTCTGTATTTATCGAATGGGATTAGATGGTACTCATAGACTAC